AGGGGCGTGTACCTGTTAACGGGAGTGTGTGCCCATCAACAGGGGTGTGTGCCCGTCAACAGGGGCGTGTACCTGTTAACAGGGGTGTGTGCACATCAACAGGGGCTGTGTGCCCATCAACAGGGGTGTGTGCTTGTTAACAGGGGTGTGTGCACATCAACAGGGGCGTGTCCCCGTCAACAGAGGCCGTGTGCCCATCAACAGGGGGGTGTGCCCATCAACAGGGGCGTGTGCCCATCTACAGGGGTGTGTGCCAGTCAACAGGGGCGTGTGCCCATCAGCAGGGGCGTGTGCCCGTCAGCAGGGGGGTGTGCCCGTCAACAGGGGCCATCTCTCTGTTTCTCCCCAGATAAGGGCACTGGGAAGTTAACTGTGAGGTGAAAGAGCAAGGTGTAGAGAGTGTGTTGGGTGTGCAAATTTTCTATAAGAAAGGAGGAAGAAGAAAAATTATATTCCAGTTCTCTTACTTGCATAAAGAAACTAAAAATATACAGGAGTGAAAGCAGTTTTGGTGAAAGAATAGTGGTGGGTGGGGTAACACTTGTCACGGTGTTCCTTTTCAGTTTCTTAATAGTTGAATTATGGCTGCAGAACTTAATTAAAAAATTTAAATGAATTGGTTGCACTGCTGCATAAGAAGCGTGCTAAGCCTACTCTTACGTAAGCCCATTGAATATGAATTCACAAGTGTTTGAGCCTGGGCATCCTTCGGGTCAGGGTCTTTTGAGGGGGAAAGGAATAATTCTACAATTGTACTTGCATGGCCATTTAAGTCCTAAATGCTTTGGTAAGGAATTGAAAATGTAAATCTTCATTTAAGCTGTTGTTTCTTTAGTTTGTTGAGAAATTTGGGGATCATCCCCCTTTACTTTTTCTCAGTGTAATTAGAATCCTTATAACATGATGCTGAAGTAAATATCATAGCAAGAGTTTGTTTTGGATGCCTTGCAAAGACAGTAAGAAAGTGAACTCAAATGATGATTTTTTAATCTGTTTTTTTATTCTCAGAAGGTTATGTCCTGGAGAAAGTTACATAGTGCCTGTGGTTTTACCTTTACAGGAGCAGGAAAATTCAGATTCGAAACATCCCTCCTCATCTGCAGTGGGAGGTAAGCCAGAGTCTTGTTTATAATCACTACCTTTCTCTCTTCTTATTTTACTTTTTAGTGAGTTAATGACATTTTAACCTCTCATTAGTTCCTTTTCTTGTTTAAGAATTATAGGCCCTCCCATAATTTGTGGACTTTTCTACAAAGTATGTAGGCCTTCTCTCTTAATCTTTCAGTATCCTAGAACTGGTTGACCTATCATGTGTTTGGGGAGTATATTTGTCCCCTATGTTGTATAGAATATATACTTTTATTTTTCAAGCTCTATTTCACAAACACCACTCATTCAGGCAAACTACAAAGCAAAATGCATACCTGGTTTATTTCTTCTTATAC